AGACTTAAATATGTACATACACACATACACATGCAAGCATCCGTGGGCAAATATACAAATGTACACAATCTCAGATAGAAAAACTTGCATGATCGCATACAACAGTCAATAGCACGCAAACATGTATATGTGTGGGCGTGAGTTTGCGTGTGAAATTACCTCGCGTAATTGGGGATATGCATGTGTGTCTTAAGTAAGTACATGGTGATTTAATCCATAATTGTATATAATTCTATATAAAAATCTAAAACATAGATAGATAGATAGATAGATAGATAGATAGATAAGAATGGTTTCAATAGATAGATAACAACAGATTGATAAATATATAGATAGATAAGAACAAATTGAGATAGATAGATAGATAGATAGATAGATAGATAGATAGATAGATAGATAAGCACAAATTGCGATAGATAGATAGATAGAAAGGAATATTATCTAGTACGTTTCTGATAGATAAGAACAGCTTGCAATAGATAGATAGATAGATAGATAGATAGATAGATAGATAGATAAGAAAGGTTTCAATAGATAAGAACAGGTTGATATAGACAGATAGATATGAATAGATAGATAGATAGATAGATATGAAGAGATTGAGATAGATAGATAGATAGATAGATAGATAGATAGATAGATAGATAGATATGAAGAGATTGAGATAGATAGATAGATAGATAGATAGATAGATAGATAGATAGATAGATATGAAGAGATTGAGATAGATAGATAGATAGATAGATAGATAGATAGATAGATAGATAGATAGATAGATAGATTCTTTTTTCACAACAATTGACGTGTAAAACACAAATCCTTTCAATATTATGGAAAACAATAAAAACAGTAACCTCATTGATTCGAGGCCAATGTTTCCGCCGGCATTTCTGTCTCAATGTTTGAGAAAATAATTTCTTCTTTCTTTGAACATAATGCAGATCTTTATTGCAATCTGTCACCATCATTGTATCTTTTATGGCGCTTATAAAATGTTGAAAGGTAAATTGAATGTCTTCCCCATAAACTTAAACAAATGGTCATCATTCCTCTTTTTGATTGGGATACAAAAATGTCAAATCTGGGACAAAATGTTCAATGGCGACGAAAAAGCGAATTCATTATATTAATTTAAACCGAAAAATCCTATCTGGATCCAGATCTTTTCCAACATCTCGCTATAAAATCAACCTACATGACATAAATTTATCCTAGGGCTTGCTCGCATTCAAAGCGAAATCTTTGTTCCAAATTTATGGAACGTGAACACACCGGAGAGTGTACAACAAAAGAACAGGCATTAAGCAAACAAGAGAGAACGCTTGACATTGCACTTAATCTTTTGATGATCAAAGTTGACTGGAAAGCAAAACGATGGAACAGATTTCCATGAACTAGAAGTGATTAAGGAGAAACTTTTAGCACAGACAATAAAATCCCATCTAACAATTTCACCTATAAAATAGTGAGACCTAGCAGCCAATCTAGTACTGCACTTACAGTTATAAATTTGACAGATCAAAAAAGAGACCAATATTTATTTTAAAAATACAAAAATGTGACACAAGGCCAAAAGGGGATTAGGAAAAGCTGTTCTTATCTTAAACTTAGCTAGTCACAATTACTGACCCAAACATACGACATTCCATACACCAAAAAAAACATTTTCACTTACCATTCTTACTACAGTCACCATAATACCTCACGGTCTCTAACAATCCTAACAATTTTCCATATCTACAATTTTCCTGTGGGGTGCAGAATAAAAATAACTACAAAGAGTGAACCTCATCACAACAATGAAAGTATTTATAGAAAAGGCACAGGGAAGCCACATAACGGCGATAGGAAAGTGACTGAAGCCAAGATGCCAGGTCAGGAACGATAACATTGCAGATTCTTTTCTGGATTTTATCAAGAGTCTTTAAGTAAATAGCATTAGCACTAGAACAAATGTGAAAGCAATATTCAGTGTGTGGACGAATGGTATGCTTATAAATGTGTAAGATAGACTCTTTCAAGAAAGATTGTCTAGCGCCATACAGTGAACGAACTTTCCTAGCAGCAGACCTCATAACTGATTCAATATAGTATTTCCACTTTATATCAACGTAAAACGTTATCCCGAGAAGATGCAGTGAGTATATTCCGTGTTCTGTATTTGAAAATTCTTTAATAAGAATTGCTGAATCTTGAGCAAACAGATTCTCTGAGCATCTGGCTCGTTTGAATGACGCATCACTGCTCCTTTATCTATTGATTATACGTCACAGCAAACTGACACGGTGGCTTATGCTGATAAAAATAATATGAAAATAACTTGATAACAGTATAGCGATGGTATGAATTTATATCATTGAAAGATTTTAAAAGTATGATGTTGGAGACTCTTGCAGCATGTTAGTTCGATGGAATACACAATTTAGAAAGCCGGGGAATACATTGACAACGGAAACATGAGGGTATAGATTTCTCCGAAATAAACGTCTGGTTATTAAAATACTAGAAACATTTGGACCATCCTATGGGATCGAATACACGATTTCGAAAGTCCTGATATCGTCAGCTTCCCACTGCTTCCTTCTTGAGTATAGGGATTAGACTGAACATTGAAATGCTATTCACTAATTAAATCATGACCTCTTCAAATATTCCTGTAGCGTATTCACTCTCCAGAAAATACTATGCTCTTTTCCATAAAAAAGATCTCTTTAAGAGCGATGTCCTTTCAAAAACATGGAAGTTCATTGTTCGCTGCGACTTCTTTTTCTTTTATAAAATCCCACGTCCAATCGAGATATGGTCATTCTTGGAACCAATACAAGTTCTTTGTTATCTTGGAATTGCCTTGGGTTCGAGAAGAATATGGTGGAGTGCTTTCCTATTGCCTGCTCAAGACTTTTGGAAATCTGAATTCTTCTTCTTCTACACTGGTTGCCACACAAGGCTAGAAGATTTTAATACGCACCCATATATTTAACCCATAGCTGGAGGGGGAACCAACGTCAATGATCGAACCTTGAATCCGACAGCATATCAGGATATCACAGCACTTAATGTTTTGAAGATCAAAGTTGTGTGGAAACAATAAGCCTTATGAGAGTTCCACAAGCGAGAAGTGCGGTTGAAATAAAAGTTTTGGCGGGCATGTTTTAGAATTTTTTAACCAGAGTAGTTTTATCCCTTGTTTCCTGTTTAGGATTGGGTTTCCGATTCCGTCTGAAGTCTGCTTCAACTCTGTATTCCTAACGTTTCCGCCTAAACACTGAAATGTTATTTATTTTCTGAATAGATAGGATTCTTGAACAGGAGTAGAGGTTTATCCCTTGTTTCCTTTTTAGTACTGGCTTTCCGCTTTCTTTCTAAAGTCTACTTCAATTCTATATTTATAACGTCTCCACCTAAACTAAATTAAACTAAATTTTATTTACTAATTAGTATTTTCCCCTCTACCAGTAGAGGGAAAAATTTATTTAATACTAGCAGCATGGCCCGGCGTTGCCCGTGCTTGATTCAAAAATCGTACGACTCATACAGCAATCGCTATCTCTTGAGTTAAAATATATTTGCCGTTCCTTGCCTTTAAAGGAGTGCCCTTTGCCGTGCTGATGTTGCTACATACCTTACTTCTTGCCTATCTCACACTGCGAATTTTTTCTAAGCTCTATACTAAATATTAAATCTGTTACGAAAAAAGAACTAAACAAAATGAACACAAAACGATCAGCTTTAGAAATGGACTCGTAACTGGAAAAACCGAATGAAAAAAGAATGTTAACAACAAATACTTTTTCACACCCAACCAAGTTCTATGGAATCGGAATCAACATTGAGTTTAAGCAAACGAATGAGCCAATTGGAGTAAAGTGGCATGCAGATTTAAATTTTTCCCACATGTGACGAATGTAGCTATCGATATTTTTTTGCATGCTAGCATGCTAGTTAACATTCGTGTCAGTCAGCTGTTGGCTCTCACGCTGGCCAATATAATCTTCCTGACTATTCGTGGCAGCCAGCTATAGGCTCTCACTCTGACCAATAGAAAATGGCCGCAAACTACATGAAAACTGCCGTAGAAGCATGAAAAAATCTATTATTCCCACTATCGATGGGAGTTGGGAAATGCAAAGTCGGTCTTGCCCTTCCCGATAACTTGGAGCATGCGCATGTAAATTTTGGTGCAAATCCGTCGAACATTGCGGCCGTGCATTCGTTACACACACACACACACACACACACACACACACATTCTGCCTTTTATAGATAGAGATATATTTAGTTTTCCTCAATATTAGATCGGTTCGCCTATCATCCGGTTCAGACTCCTGCTCGGTGTTATGAACAGGAGTAAAGTTTTATCCCTTGCTTTCTGTTATGGATTAAGTTTCACCTCCGGTGGTACCTCGCGTCTTCTTGCCATGAGCACCTTGCTTGGAGTGGTGCTTTTACTTCGGTAATCCTCAACAGCACCTGCATCTTGGGCCTTGTACAGGGTACGTATTATTGCAAATATACATCGATGACTGAATAGTGATTCTACAAATTTGTTTTATTCACATAATATAAGGCCCAAGAGCCACTTAAGTTAGAGGGTTAATGAATGATGTTATATGAATGTAAGAGGAAGAAGTAGGTAGTGAAATTATGATGATTTGGAAGAATAAAATAATTTATTAAAATTCAGCATACTTTATCATCGTCATCCTGTGATGGAATACACTGGTTACTGATTGATTCGCTTTTACGGCTTATCAACCCTTTGCAGGATATTTAAAGCCAGAAAATAATTTTGCATTGCAAGAATTTTTTTTAGATAATAATAGTTTACTGATGCAAGTCTAACTACTTAACCTATAGGTGGGAGGGGAATATATGGATCTATACCATTTTCAAAGGCTATTTGTGCGTAAGTGAATATAACGGACGCAACAAGAATTGGAACACAGTTCCCTGATTAACAATTCCGAGCCATTAGCCATTACACTACCCGTACATCCAAGCTTACAACACCTGGTATTCCTAACCCGTCACCCAACGAGGTAATGATTAAGCTCAACGTTGCTTAACTTCGGTGATCGTACGGGAACCGGTGTTTCAACGTGATGTGTCCGTAAGCCAATATATAGGTTAAAAAAACGGGGTGGTTGTAGCGGTGACAGAAGAGATCTGCCCCGGGGTGCATCAGCTGCGATCAGAAGATCAGGGAGGAGTGTAGCGATGAATTACCACAGCAACCCAAAAGGGCCAGAGTCACGTGTATGTTTTGAAAATGAGTGTGGAGACGGCCCTTATACTTTGCCAGATCTGTTGACCCATTAGTGTCTAGAAAACGTGTCGAATATGCTGTCAAAGTCTGCAAAGCTTACCGGTCAATTGATCCAGCACCAGTTCGTTGTTTGGCGTGCGCATTTGCATCCGCTCTGCCATAGCTTGTCGAATCTGTTGCGGCAGACCGGACACAAATGCGGACGCCAAATAACGTTCCGGCAGCGATCTTGCTACCAACTGAGCCAGGCTATGAAACTTGGCCAAAAATTAACTGACTGTTTCATTCTGTCGAAGTTGTCGTGCCAAGAATTGGTAAAATGCATTGAACGCATCTCTTGCGTGCGCGGTTATAAGAGCCTGTTTGATCTCTTCCGCCTCTGAATTCCGTTCCATACTCAGTAGCCGATATATGGCGAGCACCGCCTCTCAGTTGTAGCGGAAAGATACGCTCGACTTTGTCCATGGCAAAGAGATGGGGAGACTACCCAGGCGTTTTCAATCCATTCTACGATCGGCAGGTCAGTCAGAAGAGATCTGCTCCATGATGCCTCAGCTGTAATCAAGAGATCTGCCCCGGAATGCCTCAGCTGTAATCAAGAGATCTGCCCCGGGATGCCTCAGCTGTAATCAAGAGATCTGCCCCATGATGCCTCAGCTGTAATCAAGAGATCTGCTCCGGGATGCCTCAGCTGTAATCAAGAGATCTGAACCGGGATGCATCAGCTGTAATCAAGAGATCTGAATCGGGATGATTTAGCTGTAATCAAGAGATCTGCCCCGGGATGCCTCAGCTGAACTCAAGAGATCTGCCCCGGGATGGCTCAGCTGTAATCAAGAGATCTGCCCCGGGATGCCTCAGCTGTTCTCAAGAGATCTGCCCCGGGATGCATCAGCTGTAATCAAGAGATCTGCCCCGGGATGATTCAGCTGTACTCAAGAGATCAGAGGGAATGTAGCGGTGATCCAAAAGAGCCAGAGTCGCTTGTATGTTTTGCATGGATTGTTGGAGACGGCGAATCGGTGCGCTTCGGACGGAAGGTGCACGTTCTGTTGAAAGTGGTGGTGTCGCTTTTAGCCATTTTTATTGGCTGATTCTGGACGTTCATTGACTGAGTGCTGGCTGGGTCTGGTTCATAAAAACTCACAACATTTACATGACTTATTTCCAGTATCAATATGTGTACAAGTCTGCATCTCTTCTAGTATTGGATCCATGTGAATATGGCAACTAGCATTGCAGGTCAGAAATATCCCAACTACACCAGAAAATACATTATCAAATATCTAAAAAAATCTATATATATAAACTTGTAGCCTCTGTCTGTTTGTTATCGAACCCCTCCTAATGTTTTGGAAATAGACTTCCATAACAATATATATTCTGAAAATACCTTACTTAGGGTACTTGGATAAGTATATTTCGTCTTGATCAATAGGGGACCTCGGGGCTAAGTGTACCCCCTGCAAACGATTTTTTCCCCATTGATATAAATTAAATTTAAATTTGAAAAACGAAATGTCGCTTAGGGTACTTGGATAAGTATATTTTGTTTTGATCACTAGGGCTCCTCCGGGGGGGGGGGGTCACCCCTACTACTACCGAAATATTTTTTTTGTTTTTTTTCCCATTGATATAAATTAAATTTAAATTTGAACAACGGAACGACGCCTAGGTTATTTGGATAAGCATATTTCATTTTCATCAGTGTTGCGATAATCATTGCCATATCAATGTTTAAATTTGCTCATCAATTCATTCAATCAAGTATTGCCTCAAATACATATCAAAGGGGTCAGATCAAACTGTTTTTGCACACACCTCCGCGAATGAAATTTTTCCCTTTTGATTTAAACTGAATTTAAATTTGAACAAGGGAATGACATGGTAAGTATATTAGAATTGTCCAAATTGTGTAACTCCAAAATTGTCCAAATTGTGTAACATCAAAACTGTCCAAATTGTGTAACATCAAAACTGTCCAAATTGTGTAACATCAAAATTTTGCAAATTGTGTAACACCAAAATTGTCCAAATTGTGTAACATCAAAATTTTGCAAATTGTGTAACTCCAAAATTGTTCAAATTGTGTAACATCAAAATTTTGCAAATTGTGTAACACCAAAATTGTCCAAATTGTGTAACAGCATAATTGTCCAAATTGTGTAACTGTAAAATTGTCCAAATTGTGTAACACCAAAATTGTCCAAATTGTGTAACAGCATAATTGTCCAAATTGTGTAACATCAAAATTGTTCAAATTGTGTAACTGTAAAATTGTCCAAATTGTGTAACATCAAAATTGTCCAAATTGTGTAACTGTAAATTTGTCCAAATTGTGTAACATCAAAATTGTCCAAATTGTGTAACTCCAAAATTGTCGAAATTGTGTAACATCAAAATTGTCCAAATTGTGTAACATCAAAATTGTCCATCTCACAATATATCTTAAAAAAAAAAAACCCGAAAAAACCAAATTGAGTTTACTTTATGTAAGTTTTCTGATAGCCATCATGATACCATTTGTCGTAAGAATCAGTGAAAAATCCTTTGAGTTATTCAGCTAGAAAGTGGACAAGTTAAAATCGTTTTGTATCAGCTCCACTATCTTCCAAAATGTTCAGTGACAAGAGGAAAAAGATGATTCAGGCCTTCAGTGATGGGTAGCAAAAGTCATACTCTGGTTTCTATCTTCAAAATCCCTTCAAGAACAATCAAGAGACCGGTGAAAAGGTTTAATAAAAAGAGGGTAGAGTAGAGAGGCAAACTGGATGAGGAGGTCACAACGGCAAGAGGGGATCATCATTTCAATTGGACACTTTAATGCTGGATTTTGTTATTGGCGCCAAGTTAGCATCGAAATCACCCTTCATAAGTAATAGTCAATGACAATGACCTGGGTAACCATTATCTCATGCTGAGGCGCAGGGGAGAATAAAAGTTGTAGAGGGAGAACAAAATCAAGGACGAAGACAAGAGAAACAGCGGAGAAAGAAAGAAAGAAAGAAAGAAAGAAAGAAAGAAAGAAAGAAAGAAATATTGGTAATGGATAATGAGGAAATACGTAAGTTAAAAAAGAAAGAAAGAAAGAAAGAAAGAAAGAAAGAAAGAAAGAAAGAAAGAAGAAAGAAAGAAAGATAGAAATATTGGTAATGGATAATGAGGAAATACGTAAGTTAAAAGAAAGAAAAGAAAGAAAGAAAGAAAGAAAGAAAAAAGAAAGAAAGAAATATTGGTAATGGATAATGAGGAAATACGTAAGTTAAAGAAAGAAAGAAAGAAAGAAAGAAAGAAAGAAAGAAAGAAAGAAATGAAAGAAAGATAGTAAAATTATTATGGCAAGAAAAAAAGAAAGCAACCAAGAAAAAAGAAAGAAAACGAATGAAAGAAAGAAAGAAAAATTATTATGGTAAGGTAAATAAGAAAGAAAGAAAGAAAGAAAGAAAGAAAGAATGATTGGTAATGGATAATGAGGAAATACGTAAGTTTAAGAAAGAAAGAAAGAAAGAAAGAAAGAAAGAAAGAAAGAAAGAAAGAAAGAAAGAAATATTGGTAATGGATAATGAGGAAATACGTAAGTTAAAGAAAGAAAGAAAGAAAGAAAGAAAGAAAGAAAGAAAATAAATGAAAGAAAGATAGATAAATTATTATGTCAAGAAAGAAAGAAAGCAACCAAGAAAGAAAGAAATAAAAATTATTATGGTAAGGCAAACAAGAAAGAAAAAAAGAAAGCGAATGAAAGAAAACAAATGAAAGAAAGATAGAAAGAAAAATTATTATGGTAAGGAAAAAGAGAAAGAAACAAACAAACAAAATGAATGAAAGGAAGATAGAAAGAAGATTATTAAGGTAAGAGGAAGGGGAAAGAAAGAAAGAAAAAAGAAAGAAAGAAAGAAAGAAAGAAAGAAAGAAAGAAAATGAATGAAAGAAAATAAATGAGAGGCAGATAGAAAAATTATTATGGCAAGAAAGAAAGAAAGAAAGAAAGAAAGAAAGAAAGAAAGAAAGAAAGAAAGAAAGAAAACGAATGAAAGAAAGAAAGAAAAATTATTAGGGTAAGGCAAACATGAAAGAAAGAAAGAAAGAAAGAAAGAAAGAAAGAAAGAAAGAAAGAAAGAAAGAAAGAAAACGAATGAAAAAAAGATAGAAAGTAAAATTCTTATGGTAAGCCAAAAAAGAAAGAAACAAAATGAAGGAAAGCAAGATAGAAAGAAGATTATTAAGGTAAGGGGAAAGGGAAAGAAAGAAAGAATAAAAAAGGAAAGTATAAAAAAGAAGGAAAATATGAAAAAGATGATGTAAGGAAATGAACAAACGAAGGAAAAACTAGCATAAAATTTTTTAAAAATTGATAAAAGAAAGAAATAGTAAATAAATAAAGAAAGAAAAATAGAAAGAAAGAAGAAAAAAGTAAATATAAAATGAGATAATGAAGGAAAAGCAAAAATGAAAGGATAATGAAAAAAACGATGGTTGAGAAGAAGAAGAAACGAAATTGAATGAGTAAAGAATCAAAAGAAAAATGAAAGAAAGCAATGAAGAGAAAACAAAAACCTCAATAAATAAAAGTTGGATTTGAAACAGAAAATAGAAGTGAATGTACAACATACGAAAGAAAGAAAAAAACGAAAGAAATATGAAGAAATTAAAGAAATCCTGACACAGTAAGAATTAAAATGATCAACAGAAAAATAAATCAAGGAATAAAATGCAATGACATGATGTTTACGAATGAGAGATTAAAAAAGACAAAACCCAAATCTGAAATATTACCGGTCCTGAGCTGCCAACTCGGAATCAATCACTTTTCTTACCGCCATAATGTAGCTACTCTGTGACTTTCCTATAGATCACACGAGGGCTTATTCCTCGGTCATACTTTGATTTTCATTATTATTAATGACCTTCCCGATAGCATCACCTCTCATCTTGGTATCTATGCTGACGACACAAACATTTACTCGTGTCTCGATACTAAGTCTGATTGGTCAGATAAAATCGAATTGCCAACTGATCTAAAAAAACGACATTCTATTGTTAGCTGTTACAAAGGACGGCTTGTCAATTTTAACGCTCCCAAAACGAAACTGCTATTAATCACCTGAGAGAACCCTTCCAATCTTCCAGGAAAGTGAAACGTTGCTGCTTCCCGGGCTACCGTCCTCAGCTGACATGAAGTGAAAAGACTATATCGAATCTATTGCTAGGTCAGCTGCTAAGAAAGTTAGTTCACTGTGCCGGACGATACAATTTTTCTCTGCAGAATCTATCTTACATATCTATAAGTCTATCAAGCGTCCAGGCTTAGAATATTGTGCCTTCTCCGGCTAACGTCCTCAGCTGACATGAATTGAAAAGACTATATTGAATCTATTGCTAGGTCAGCTGCTAAGAAAGTTAGTTCACTGTGCCGGACGAGACAATTTTTTTCTCTCCTTAATCAATCGTGCATATTTACAAGTCTACCATTCATCAATGCTTAGAATGTTGCTACAGCATATGGCCCGGTGCTCCCGCAATATTTATCCTTCATAAAATCCAAAGAAGAATCTGCAATATTATTGGTCTTGACCTGATTTCTCGGTCTAGTCACATGCCACCGCTATAAAATTGCCTCCCTGTGCCTTGTCTATATTTTTTATCCCATGATACGTAGGGTCATCATGTGTACTGCAGCCACAGTAGAAGTGGTATTTCATGGGCAAGATATCCCGACAAAATATAACCCTCTTCAGGCGGATTTTAAATTAAGAGTTTTTGTAACCCAGGTCTATAGAACCGAGTCTGCCATGCTACTTGCTCATGGGTCCCTTTTATTTCTGTCCCCATTTTTCCTTGGTTTAATTCCCCATCCCTTGGTGGTCAGTGATGTCAGTTCTCTGGTGGATGCGGGGCGCGTTTCGTTTCGGGTGTGTTTTTTGTATTTGTTGTTGTCTGAGTGAGTGCGTGTCTGTGTGAGTGCATGGGATAAATAAATGTTTTATATTATTAAACATATTTTTCGTCCAGTTAACTGATGTTCCTGCCACATTTAGGAATTGGGGGTTTTGTTACTAACACTAATTTGGTTTCTTTGTTTCCTTTTGTAAATACTCATTAGAGCTAGTTTTTAAATTGATGTTTTATACGTCTCTTCCACAGGCAATGAATTGGACATATGGGGACTAGTTAGGATTTTCATAGAGACAACGAGGTATTATGGTGAATGTAGTAAGAAAGGTAAGTAAAAATATGTTGTTTTGGTGCAAGGAATATTATGGTATATTTGGGTCAGCGTTTATGGCTAGATAAGTTTAAAAAGACCGTCCTTTTCCCCATTCCCCATTCCCCATTTTTGGCTTTGTGCCACATTTTCTGTATTGAAGCGGAAATAAATATCGAGTGTAAGTTCAATACCTGATTAAGGTGGTGAAGGACTTGGAGAGGGGAATTAAAAGGAGATAACTGATAACTGACATCAATTAGACATGGCACGTGGAACTAGAACAGTCTAACCCAGTGAGCGAAATAAAAAGGTTCAGTTCGACATTCCAACCACCTGAAGATGGCCGGAGAGTAGAACGGCTGAAACGTTATGATAAATATGGCGACAAAGCTGAGAACAATCGTCCGAATGATGTAAATAGTGTACATAATACCTCATTTCAGAAATAGAGACAGATACTGAAGGGCCGAAACGTTGTAATAAATATGGCAACAAAGATGAGGACAATAGTCCCAATAATGTAAATAGTGTATATAATACCTCATCTCAGAAATATAGGCAGATACTGATAGGCCGAAACGTTGTAATAAATATGGCAACAAAGATGAGGACAATAGTTCGAATAATGTAAATAGTGTACATAATACCTCATCTCAGATATATAGACAGATACTGAAAGACCGAAACGTTGTAATAAATATGGCAACAAAGATGAGGACAATAGTTCGAATAATGTAAATAGTGTTCTTATAATGATTTTTTGTTTCATGTTTGTAAATATTCGTTGGGGTTTAGATTTTTAAATTGTTATTTTATTCCCCTCCTCCGTAGACATGATTTGTACATATGGAGACAAGTTAAGATTTTCATAGAGACCACAAGGCATTATGGTAGATGATGGTAAGTAAGAATGCGTTGTTTTGGTGTAAGGAATACTGTGTTTGGGTCAGTAATCGTGGCTAGATAAGTTTAATGTTAAGACAGAAGAAGACCATAGTTTTTCCCACATTTCCCTTTTGGGCCTTGTACCACATTTCTGATGATAGACGGAATAAATATCGCTCTTCGCCATTGTACCTAGACTTGTTTTAATTTAAGCGAAGTACGAGACTAGAGAGGAAGTCTTACCAATTTAGAGTTGGCATGGTTAGATGGAACCGGAAGTTCTATGCTAACAGTTTCTCTTCTCGGACTTCTTGATAGTGGAACTGACTTCCGGTTTCATACATTCCGGCCAAAATTTTCAAAAATTTAAACGCAATATTAATCGCTTTCTACTGTCCTCCTGATTACATTTTTCTCATCCAACCCATTATTAATATTCTCCCACACCCAGTAACCGGTTGTGGCTTAGTGACTTTAATGCCTTACTGGAAGCGAAATCTATTAATTTTTTTTTTGCTTCCAAATTCTTCATGAATTTAAGCATAGTAATAGATTGACTGTTAGGTTTCATTATTTTAATATCGAAAATTGACAGTTTTAACCGCAAGTATTATTTTAATATTTTCATATCTGAGATGAGGTATTATGATTACTTGCATTATTTACATTATTCGGACTGTTATCCTCATCTTCATTGCCATATTCACAACGTTTCAGCCGCTGTAAGCTCCGGCCTTTATGTCTATGTCTCTCTATATATCTGTCTATATCTCTCAGATGAGGTATTATGATTACTTGCATTATTTACATTATTCGGACTGTTATCCTCATCTTCATTGTCATATTCACAACGTTTCGGCCGTTGTACTCTCCGGCCTTTATGTCTATGTCTCTCTATATATCTGTCTATATCTCTCAGATGAGGTATTATGATTACTTGCATTATTTACATTATTCGGACTGTTACCCTCATCTTCATTGCCATATTCACAACGTTTCAGCCGCTGTAAGCTCCGGCCTTTATGTCTATGTCTCTCTATATATCTGTCTATATCTCTCAGATGAGGTATTATGATTACTTGCATTATTTACATTATTCGGACTGTTACCCTCATCTTCATTGTCCATATTCACAACGTTTCGGCCGTTGTACTCTCCGGCCTTTATGTCTATGTCTCCCTATATATCTGTCTATATCTCTCAGATGAGGTATTATGATTACTTGCATTATTTACATTATTCGGACTGTTACCCTCATCTTCATTGCCATATTCACAACGTTTCGGCCGTTGTACTCTCCGGCCTTTATGTCTATGTCTCTCTATATATCTGTCTATATCTCTCAGATGAGGTATTATGATTACTTGCATTATTTACATTATTCGAACTGTTATCCTCATCTTCATTGTCATATTCACAACGTTTCGGCCGTTGTACTCTCCGGCCTTTATGTCTATGTCTCTCTATATATCTGTCTATATCTCTCAGATGAGGTATTATGATTACTTGCATTATTTACATTATTCGGACTGTTACCCTCATCTTCATTGCCATATTCACAACGTTTCGGCCGTTGTACTCTCCGGCCTTTATGTCTATGTCTCTCTATATATCTGTCTATATCTCTCAGATGAGGTATTATGATTACTTGCATTATTTACATTATTCGAACTGTTATCCTCATCTTCATTGTCATATTCACAACGTTTCGGCCGTTGTACTCTCCGGCCTTTATGTCTATGTCTCTCTATATATCTGTCTATATCTCTCAGATGAGGTATTATGATTACTTGCATTATTTACATTATTCAGACTCTTATCCTCATCTTCATTGCCATATTCACAACGTTTCGGCCGTTGTACTCTCCGGCCTTTATGTCTATGTCTCTCTATATATTTGTCTATATCTCGGAGATGAAGTATTATGATTATTTGCATTATTCGGACTGTTATCCTCATCTTCATTTCCATATTCCCAACGTTTCAGTCGTTGTAACTTCCGGCCTTCCTCAAGTGATTGAAATTTCGAAAGGAACTCTTTATTGCGTCCACCGGGGTAGATTGTTCTAGTTCCACGTGTCATGCCTCTTTCGAATGTCTCAGTTAATTCCCTTTAATTCAACTCTGTAATGAAAGTTGAATGAGGTGGAAGTTATTTCAATAAACAAAGGAAATAGAAAGTAAAACTATGAAGGAGAAAAAACGATTTAAGTAGAGAAAGAAAAAAAGATGATGATGAATGAAAAACGACAGAGACAAAAAAGAAAGAAATAGAAAAAATAAAGAAACAAGTCAAAAATTAAGAAAAACTGAATGAAAAAAGGAATGAAAAATAGATGAAGAAGAAGGAAAAAGGAAAAATAGATTTTTGGAGTCTAAGATGATAAATCGAGATGTTGACTGACTTAAAGGAGTAACAGGAAGGAAAACTCGTGACGCTAAAAAAGGCGGGAA